TTGAGTTTATCACCCACCCCTGACTTGTTAAGAGAGTTAATGAGGCTCAGGGAAGCACTACATTTACTGGGTTATTACAGAGGATATTTTAAAATCAGCTTAAACTTATTGTACATAAGAACAAATTCACTATGACATTTCATGTGCCTCAGTTGTACTCAGGCCCCATTGTTGTTTCTCATCCCCCCTCTTGCTGGTTTTCTTTACCCCAAAATATATTTTCATGTCTTAATTTCACACGACAGAATACCACAACAAAACCATCTTTAAAAGCAAGCATGGTGGCACATGCCTTTAATCCCAGCACTTGGGAGGCAGAAGCTAGCCTGGTCTACATAGTGAGTTCCAAGACAGCCAGGGCTATTAGGAAGAGACCCTGTTTCAAGACAACAGCAAGAGGGAAAGGGTTTATTCGGCCAGTAATTCCAGGTTTACAGTCCATCTTTGTCAGGCAGCGGGGGCAGGGACTTGAGGCATCTGGTCACATCCAGCATGAAGAGCAGTGAGAAAAAGCGTGCAAGCCTGTGCAAGCTCACCATTTCCTCTTTCACACCATCTGAAACCAGAACTCAGAGGAGGTTCTGCCCACAGCAGGCTGGGTCTTCCCACGGAGTGTCAAGACACTCCGCTGCAGACACGCCCATAGGACAACTTAATCAGTTGTCAGTCCCTTGCCGAGACTCTTCCCAGGTGATTCTATGATATGCCACAATGCCTTTCTGAGTCTGGCTTAGTACATTCATTCTCCTGCGAACAGCATGATTTTATTCTCTAAGGCTTAATAAAACTACTATAATGCATAGATCACATTTTCTTCATCCATTCATCTGGATGAACTTTAAGGTTGATTCCACCTCTTGGCTGTTAAGAATAGTAACTCAATAAATGTAAATGGGCAGGTGTGTCTGTGGTATGTTGGCTTAGAGTCCTTTGGGTATGTACCCAGGAGTGAGCTATATTGGGATTAAATGGTAGATCTATTTCAGTGGGGCTACCTGCCTCCTTCCTTTGTTTATGCCTTCCTTCCTTTTTCCTCTCCTCCTTTCCTTCCTTCCCGCATGTTCTTGAGTCAGGGCCTCATGTAGTATGTATGTCCTTGAACTTTCTACGTAGCTAAGGACCGATCTGAAAGTCTGATCTTCCTGCCCACACCTCCTGGGTCCTGGGAATACAAGTGTGTGCACCCACATCCAGTCTATGCGTTGCTGAGGCTCGAGCCTAAGGCTTCATGAATGCCAGACGATCTGAGATTCTTCGGGAATCTCCACACTGAGGGCTACAGTGACTGTTCTGGTCCCACCAGCAGCAAACAATAGATACTTTTAAAAGACACAGATCAGCAGTCACAGCCAGCAGCATCCCAAGCTCAAGTCCTCCTGTCTCAGTGGAGTTCCCATAGTTCCCTCACACTCACCTGTCTGGGGCCATCCAAGTGTCTGGCTACACATAAGCTTTCTGAACTTGGTCATTTGGGAATTAAGCCACTGGCCATTCAACCAGAACTTTCAGCCTTGAAGTGGGAGGCTTCTTCCTTGGATAACTAATTGCATTCCCACCCCAGTATGATTTTGCAGGGACTTCCCGAAAACCTCTTCAGTAACGTAGTTTGTGTATGTTGAAGCTGGTTGTGGTGGTGTACGTCTGTAATCCCCACACTTGGGAGGTGAAAGCAGGAAGATTAGGAGTTCAAGGCCAGCTTCTGCTTTATGGTGAGCTTAAGGTCAGCACAGGGGACATAAGACCATCTCTCAAAAAAACAAAACAAAGCAAAAACCAAATAAGTCTGTTTGAAGGGACTTGTAAGTGTATTTCTCCTTTATGTTATGCTAATAGAGGATGGTTTCAGGAACCAAGGGTGAAGGGTCACACACTATCAGGAAAACTTCAATTCTGGATATGTTCAGGTAGGAGACATCAGGGTTTTAGGACCCATATAACAGGACTCAGACAAAATACAAACGGGGCATGGTGGCACGTTTGTAATCCCAGCACTTGGGAGACAGAGGCAGGGGGATTGTTCTAAGTTCAAGGGCTGAATAAGCGAGCCCAAAGCCATTCTGGGCTATGTTATGAAAACTTACCTCACAAAAAGAAAAGAAAACTAGAATATACACGTCCAATTCCTATATTCCTTACCTGTCCCTGCATCATCGCTGTGTTGTCATACTGGTCACCTCTTGGTCCCAGAACAGCTGAATTCTGGGACTTTCCCAGAGAGCTACTCCCCACACTTTATAAAACCAGCTCCCCAGGGACAGCAGGATGATTCAGCGAGTAAGCCCAGAGTGGCAAGAAGCAGAGTTTTGTCCTAGCACCACAGCGGCCCACAATTCCAGCTCTCAGGGAGCCAAGCTGCACTCCTTCACCCGAGGAACTGGTGCCTATGGGCACCTACGCACAGCTCCTTTTATACTTGGGATCTTTATGTAAGAGTCCTCTAGCCTGGGAAGTTCTCAGACCACCGCATTTCAACTTGTCTTTGCTGACCCCGTAATGAAAACCCTATCCTTACCCTTGGCTGAAATGACACACTTCATGAGCCCACAGAGATCATCACAGCACAGGGTAGCAGGACAGCTTGCCAGCTGGGCATCGGGTGGTATTCAAAGCAAAAGCCTCAAATCGTCTCCCCCAAAGATTGGCCAGTTATTACTGGTCACTGATCAACTCAGCCTTTAGCCTCCCTTTTGCTGCAGACCTTGGAAGGGCTGGTTGGACTCCTTTTGGAAACTGATACAACCCTAAATGCAACACACATCTGGTTTGCAGGGACTTTCCAAAAATTGACTTAACTTCATCATTATTATTGTCCATTATCTTTTTAAACTTTTTTTTTTTTGAGACAAAATCTGAATTTGTAACTCTGGCTGACCTGGAACCCTCGATGTAGACCAAGTTGACCTCAAACTCACAGAGATCTGACTGCCTCTGTCTCTCAGTTGCTGCAATAAAAGGCAGGAACAACATGCCTGGCTATCTTTTTTTTAATTAGATTTATTTTAGGTGTATGAATGTTTTGCCTGTTTGCATGTATGAACATCATGTGCACGCCTGCTGGATCTCCTAGAACTCAGGTTACAGTGAGTGCCACCATGTGGGTGCTGGAACTCCGGTCTTATGCAAGAACAAGCTCGCTTAACTACTAATTTATTTTTCTAGCCCCTTTTGAAATTTAAAAGTTACATTTGTGTGTGTCACATACCTGTGTGGAACTCAGGACAACTTGCAGGAGTCAGCTGTCTCTTTCCGCCACGTATTTCCAGCCTGAGACTTGAACCCAGGTTGTCAGACTTGGCAGCAAATGTGTTTACTGCTAACCCACCTCCATGGCCTCTCCTGTTGTTGTTTGAGACAGGGTATTTTTTTGCTTTGTAGCTCAGACTGGCTTCAGACACCATCCTCCTGCCTCAGTCTCTCGAGTGCTGTCGTAACAGATATTTGCCACCACATTCAGGACCCTCTCCCATTTTAGGAAATTCTTGCTCTGTTTTTCTTGTGGCTCACAATTCACCATTGTGACAAGGCTCTCATTTATGAACCCATTTTAAAGGCAAGAGAACAGAGAGCTGGGTGTGGGTGGCACACGCCCGTCATACTCCCACTCTGGAGGATGAGGCAGGAGGATGGTCAGGAGGATTCCTGTGGCCATCTTGGATTCTGTTGTCTTTCTCACACTCCCACCTAGTGTTTGCAGAAAGGGTCTCGTGTAGCCCAGGATGGCCTCAAACTTCAAGGCCAAGGGTGACCTTGAACACCCCGTCCTCCCCCTCCCCCTCCTGATGTGGGGTGACAGATGTGCACCCCACACACACCCATACAACTTGGCTTGGACTTACATCGTATTCTCTGCTTATCACTTGTGTCTGCCAAGGTGCCCAGCCCTGGTGATACCATTATTTGTTGAACAACAACAACAACAACAAAACACAGTATTTTTACCACCCAGCACAGTGTATACAGACTACACTTTCTGAGACACTTCAAATCCAGTGGTGAGTGTACAGGGTGAGTAATAGACTTGCCCCTTGTGACGATGCTCTCTGGATAAATTGTGAACCCATTTTAAAGGCAGGAGAACAGAGAGCTGGGTGTGGGCAGCACTCAGCTGTCATACTCACGCTCTGCAGGATGAGGCAGGAGGATTCCAGGACAGCCCAGGCTGCCAAGCAAGACGGATGTCTCAAGCAAAACACAACAAAACAAAACAAAAAAAGGAAGCAGGGAAGTTGTGAGTTTTATGACTTATTCAAAGCAGATATTAGCATTAAGCGGCTGCAGGGTCATAGGCAAAGGTATGAAAACAAGGACTATTGAGTAAGGATGTTTGTTGGGGAGACAAATGGAGACTTGTGGGGTTGGGAAGATCTAGAAAGGAGGCCCTTTGGATCCTGTAACTGTAGGGACCAAAATGCTGTTGATCCAGCAACTCAAGCAGGGCAGAGTTGACAGGGGCTGGGCCTTGTAGAATATGGGATGTAGTTTGAGTCTAGATATCAGAGTGGGATATCTAAGCTATGCAGAGTACCTATGGCGGTCACTTGAAGTGCATAAGATGTGGCCAAGGCAGAATATTATTCAAAAAAATAAAAAAAAAAGACTTTCAGAATGAAATAACACAGAAGTCTCGAAACTTCTTGAATATAAAATGTACAATGCTGTCAAGGAGTAAACAGTTTTAGCGCTCCAAGAAGCTGTGAGGGAAGGTCCATCTACAAGATGCTACTGAGGTGAGGAAGTGAAATGACTAAGTGCATCGACAGAACTGGCATAGTCAGGTATCAGCTCCAGTTTATGGTGGACATGATGACGTAGCTGTGGTGTGAATGGTGTTTGGTTTAGAGCACTCAAGTTATCGGGGTAGTTCAAGGCTGGTGGAGGGCAGTCAGTGGATATGAGTCTGTGGTTCCAAAGGGCCCCTTAGGACAGGTGTGACAGAGCAGGGAGGAGCACACAGTGAGATAGCCATAGTAGGGGAGGGAGGCAGGCAAGTGAACCCAGTTTTATTGTATGCCCTCAGTCCGTCTCTGCTCCGGAGTGTTTCTGATGATCGTCCAGATCCAACGCCGGTATTTTGAGACTCGTGTATAAACGCCAGGTCGGTTGGGCTGTCCGCATGGAAAATCCCCCCATGAAATGATGCCGTAGAGTTTGCCATTGCAAACCAGTGGGCCCCCGGAGTCACCCTGGGTTGGAGAGAGAGAGAGAAGGGCTGTTGATAAGGCTGAACAGAAGGTGGAGATGGGGAGATGAAGAAAGATAGATGTGGAGAGTCAGGGAGATAGAGCATCAGTAGGATGGCTAGAGAGGAGAGTCACAGAGATGGAGAGTATGGTGATTTGAATAAAAATAGGCCCATAGGCCCATAGGGAGTGGTACTATTAGGAAGCGTGTCATTGTTGGAGGAAGCAAGTCACTGTGGAGGCAGGCTTTGAGGTTTTATATGCTTATTCTAGACCTAGTATGGCAATCTCCTTCTCCTACCTATGGATCAAGATGTAGAATTCTCAGCTCCTCCTCCAGCATCATGTGTGCCTGCAGACTGCCATGTTTCCCACCATGGTGACAATGCACTACGCTTCTGAACTGGAAGCCAGCCCCAATTAAATATTTTCCTTTATAAGGGTTGCTATGGTCATGGTGTCTCTTCACAGCAATAGAAGCCGTAACTAAGACAGAAGTTGGTGTTAGCATATAAGCAGCCTGCCTTTCGGTTGCCTAGCAACCTCTGATGCCAGCACCTGCAGCCGCCATGGAGGTGTGCTGGCACGAGCAGATGAAAGCAGCTGTGAGCTCTCTCTCTGGCTTTCTCTCCCGAAGCACCCTACTCATTCCCCCTTCTCTCTTCTCTTACACTCTCCCACTGTCTCTCTGTCTCTTTCTCTCTCTGTCCTCATGGCTCAGTAAACCTCTTTGTACCACACCTGTTACACAGCATCTAATATTTAAATCATAGCGGTCGGTACCAGGAGTGGGGTATTGATGTGATAGACCAGACCATATTTTTCTTTGGAGGAATGTGTACTTTGGAACTTAAAATTAGAGAAGTGGCTGGAAACTTCAGAAGGGACTTAGTGGGCCATCCTAGTAGGAAGAGTGGTGCTGAGGGTGATTTGAACTGTGGGGGCCTGGCTCGAGAGGTTTCAGAGGAGAAAATTCTCAATATGTGACCTAGAGACTATTGTGATATTTTGATGAAGAATGTGGTTGCTTTCTGCCATTGTCCAAAAAAACCTGCGTGAGGCTAAAGTAGAGAGTTTTGGATTAATTGCATTTGTAGAGGAGATTTTTAAAACAGCCTAGGATAGACTGTTTCCTGCGGCTATTAGTGTCCATGGTTATGCATACCTATAATGAAAAGTAGCAAACTGAGCAAAGAAAAGTTACAAAGTGTACACTGAAGGGAAAAGGGGCACCAGGAAGTTGAGTGAAGCTAAGTCCTGTATTCAGGTAGATAAACACAACAGAGAAAAGCCTGATGTTAAAGAGAATAAAGGGAGTAGTGACCTCAGTGCAAGATCCCACCCACTAAACTTCCTTCCCACTTGCAAAAGGGAATTTTAAAAAAGCTTAGGGCTGGGTATAGCAGTGTACCTTTAATCTCAGCATTCCAGAGTCTATAGAGTGAGTTCCAGGACATCTAAACCTTAGGCAGTGAAGGAAATCATTGAAAACAGAAAGCTGGTGAAGATGTAATTGAACACGGGGCCATGTTCCAGCCCCAGCAAGCAGCAGATCTTGGCAGCCTTGACCATTCTGCTTCTGGCTTTAGAGTCAAGGATAGAAGAAAGGGGTTAAAAATCTCCCTCCTCCACTAAGAAAAGCTGCTGAGACCAGGCATGTGGCAGGGGTGTCCCAGCATGGGGGCCTAGAGAGGCCATTGTGTGAAGCTGTGAAAGTAAGGCCTAGATTGCCTTGGAGACCCCAAGATGTTGGAGATGCCAGAGCTGTGGGGTACCTGGCAAGGAGTAAAACCAGCCCAAGGGGGAAAAAAAGTGTGTTGCAGTCAGCAAAGCTGAAAGGAGCTGGAGTTCTGAAGAGCATTTTGATACCAGATATGGAGAGTCAGAGTTTGGTTTTTGCCCAGCGGGTTTTTGGTCTTGCTTTGGTCCAGTATCCCCTTATTATCCTCCCTTTTATAATTGTAATGTATATCCTGTGTTGTTATATGTTGGAAATACATGATCTACTTCTTCATTTTGATTTTACAGGGGATTACAGTTAAGAGATTGCATGAGTCTCAGAAGAGACTTTAAACTTTGGACTTTTAAAGATGCTTGAGACTGTCATAGACTATGGAGACTTTTGAAATTAGACTAAATGCATTTTGCATTTTGATACGGCTACAAGCCTGTGGGGACCATGGAGGGAAATGTGATGTTTTGACTAAAAATGGCCTCCATAGGCCCATAGGGAGTGGCACTATTGGGAGATGTGGCCTTGTTGAAATAGGTGTGGCCTTGTTGGAGAAAATGTGTCACTGGGAGAGTGGGCTTTGAGGTCACAGAGATCAAGGTTAAGTGGTTGTCTCTCCTTGATGCCTACCAATCTAAATGTAGAACCCTGAGCTCCTTTTCCAGCACCATGTCTGCCTGCATACTATCATGCTTTCCACCATGATGATAATGGACTGAACCTCTGAAACTGTAATCCAGCCTCAATTAAATGTTTTCCTTTACAAGAGTTGCTGTGGTCATGGTGTCTCTTCACAGCAATAGAAACCCTAACTAAGATAGGGAGACAGATAATCATAGAGATGGAGAATCAGAGAGGAGGAGAGTCAGAGGGATGAAGAATCATAGAGGAGGAGAATCAGAGGGATGGAGAGTCTGGGAAATGGAGAATCAGAGGGATGGAGAGGCAGAGGGATAGAGAATCAGGGAGATGGGGAATGAGGGAGATGGAGAGTCAGGGAGATGGAGAGCCAGGGAGATGGAGTCAAAGAGATGGAGAGTCAGGGAGATGCAGTGTCAGGGAGATGGACTGCATTGCCCCCAAACTCTCCATGACTCACTTCACAGGAGTCCTTTCCACCTTCTTTGGTACCAGCACAGAGCATGTTGGCAGTGATCTTCCCGGGGTACACCTGCCGGCACTCCTCGTCTGAGCGCAGTTCAATGTTGGCACACTGCAGGGTTTTGGGGTAGTTCACTGGGAAGGAGAGAGACCATCTGAGGAGGCTTGTCCTGGATGTTAAAGAGTCAGAGTGGGCAGGAAATTGAGATGGGGTGAGTAAGATGAAGGAAAGGACAAGGCAGACAGTAGTAAAGAGACAAGCATAAGGACAGACATGGGGGAGAGATGAGGGAAAAAGGAGGAGTGGGTGGGAGGGCTGGGGCAGGCGGAGAAAGAAATGGGGAGACCTGAAGAGATAAGAGTCCGGAAGCCGGGGTGTTTGGGAGGTACCTCAGTAGTTAAAATACTTTCCATGCAAGTGTGAGGTCCCAAGTTCAAATCCCTAACACTTATGTAAGTGCTGGGAGTGGACATGGTGGGATTCTTATAATTCCAGCCTCATAAGAGACAGGGGACCCCCCAAAGCAAGCTGGCTTGCAAGTCCAGCCATGACAGTGAGCTCTGGGCTTGATGGAGAGGCCCTGTTTCAACAAATAAAATGGAAGAATGATCAAGGACGATTCCCAATATCAACCTTGAGACTCCACATGCTCAATGTCTGTGTGTGTGTGTGAAGTGGAAAGGGGAGAGAGAACTAGAGCTGGGGAGGGTGCAAGGAATGGTGGGAAGAGGTGAGAGAACAGGAAAATCAGTGATGGGGAAAGAAGTATGAGGGGAGAATGATACAGAAAGGAGACAGGAGAGAGCAAGGGCTCGCTGTGGCGAGTCCGCTGATATACTTTGTGCTATATGTTAGGCGTATGTGCAAAACACCTAAATAATACACGTTTTAATAGTTCATCCACCCTCATAAGATACACGTATTAATGCATTACATGTTACAAATACGTAAATTATAAATGTATAAATATGTATTAAGTAAGTGTATAATAATGTGTTGATATTACATAATAAACATTGTAACATTGTCCTGTACCTTTTTTTTTTGGTGCTAAGAATTGAAGCTAAGGCTTCAGATAGTCACGGCCCATTCTCTACTGTTATATTACATTTCCAGCCTTTTTAATTTTATTTTACTTTTTAAAAACATTTTGTGTGCATGTGTATGTATACCAAATAGGTGTGAGGAGGTCAGGGGACAAGTTCTGAGAGTCAGGTCTGTCCTTCCACCATCTTGGTCCTGGGGACTGAACCAAGTTACCAGGCTTGGTAGCAACTGAGCCCTCTAGCCAGCCCTATTTTATTTTAAAAAAATATTTTTTAAAAAAATAGAAATTTTGAGACAGATTTTTCTGTGTAGCTCAGACTGACTTCTTCTCTGTAGCTCAGGCTGCCCCTGAACTTATGATCCTACTGACTCTGTTTCCCAGGTGACTGGCATTATAGATTTGTGCCACCAGGCCCAGCTTACTATCTATTCTTTTATTCTGAGTCAGGAGAGATGGCTCAACAATTAAGAGCACTCGCTGCCCTTCCAGGGGACCAGAGTTTGATTCTCAGCACACATATTAGGCAGCTCACAACGGCCTGTGACTCCAGTTCCAGGGAATCTGGTGCCCTCTTCTGGCCTCTGATGGTACCTGCACTCACATACACAAGCCCATGCATAGAATTTAAAATAAAAGAAATCATCATCATATATATTTATACACACACAGTCCCAGTACTTGGAATGCAGAAGCAGATGGATCTTTGTGAGTTCCAGGACAGTCAGGGCTACATAGTAAGACCTTGTCTTAGGCCCCCGCCCCCCCACACCACATACATACCACCATATAGTTTATATATTCATATATTTGTATACATTAATATTAAAAAGATATATCCCTTCATTTATGTATGCTTATTTTTATAGGACTGGCAGGGTGGCTCAGTGGGTCATGGTGCTTGCAGCCAAGCCTGAGGACCCGAGTTTGATTCCCAGAACCCAAATGGTGGGAGGAAAGGACAGGAACCCTGAAATTTGTTTTCTGACCTTTCTTCAACACTTGGCACATGTACCTTCCCTCAAGCACACATACAAAACCAACACAAAGGTAATAAAAGAATGCCCCTCTGACCTCTTCTGCTTATTGCTGCCTGTTTCCTCAGCCATATGTGAGGACTCTAGCAGCCAGATTAGGCACTCACCCTGGGGGCTGGTGGTGGTGCCCCAGCCGGAAACTCGACAGCAGGTGCCGGTGGGCAGGCAGTCATCTGGGGAGAGTGGCAGAGGCCGGATGTGGCTGCTGAGCTGGACCGGGGACTTCAGCTCCAGAAGCATGATATCATGGTCGTGGTTCAGGTGGGTGGGGGAGACCTGGTATTGAGGATGGGGGATGGAGCGGACCACCTCCATTGCCTGCTCGCCATTCTCCGCACGCCCCAGGGCATGCTTGCCCAGATGAACGGTGTACCCTCTGTGGGTGCAGGAAGTGGTGGGTAAAAGGCAGAAGACGAGCCCACCTAATCCCACCCCAGCCCCAGCCTCTTTCCCATCCCAAACTCAAGCCACATACTCTTTTCTGCAGTGGGCCGCCGTGAGTATCCATTTGGGGTGAACCAGAACGCCTCCACAGAGAAGTCGTCCATGGACCAACAGAGCTGCCTGCCAAGGCTGAGAGTGGGGCAGGCAGGTATAGCCACCTGGGAGAAAACCGTTGGTCCCGTTGGTCCCATTGAGAATCTTGGGATAGTCCCGGGAGATCCCTGTCAAAGAGAAGAAACCGTTAGAGAATTTTGGCTAAGGAAGAAGAAAAGGTCAGCATTTTAGTTCTGGACTTGGGGAGAGGGTCAGATTATTTGGTCCCCAAAACTAAGGATTCCTTTGCTGGCCTCTAAGTTGCCATGTTCCATACAGTGGGGGCGAGACAGGCAGATATTTTATCTGTACTATAGAAGCGCTGGACTGTCCAGTGGGCACTGAGAGGAAGGCTTAGGGAATGATTGGGTTGCAAAGTAGTAAGCAGAGGTTCACTTTCTCTCTATCTACATTTTCTTGAGGTGAAAGAATTGACTTATGTATCTACCTAGGCAACATTCATTCACTTGTTCATTCATTCATCCACCCATCAATCCCTCTATCCATCCATCCACTCACCTATTCTAGCTATCAACCCGTCCATCTGTCCACAAGTCACTCATCCACGTATATTTAAATGTTTGTGTATGTATACACACACACACACATAAATATCCGCTCATTCATCTACCCACCCACCCATTTACCTATCCACCATCATGCCCACCCATTCATCCATCCAATGTCCATCCATCTACCCACCCATCTTCCCATCCGTTCATTCATACATACATCTGCCCATATACCCATCTATTTATCCACCCCTCCATCCATGTAGCCACCAATCTTCCCATCTATCCTTACACCACCCACTAATCTACCTATCCGCCAGCCAACTGACTCACATGTTCATCTACTCGTCATCTATGTATCCACCCGTGCACTCTATCCTCTCACGCACACACTTCCATCTCTTCATCACTCGGATATTAATAAGGTGGAGAATAATAGAGGAAGATGCCTAATATTGTCCTATGGTCTACACACACACACACACACACACACACACACACACACACACACACGTCCTGTGTCACTTGGAAGCCTCTTTGTCCAAATCTCCACCTCTCCCCTCCCCTCGTGGTCCATTCTATTCCGCACATACACACACACATACATGTGTGCCGGCACCCAGCTACCCATTTCTCCATCCATCTATCCATCCTCCCAACCACACTCCATTCCTCCGCATGCCCACACCCCACCACGTATCCATTCATCCGCTAGTCACCCAACCATCCGTCCATCCTTTCAACACAGATTTACTAGGAGCTTTTCCAGTTAGTTTAAACATCCGGTTTAAAATGTGGAAGATTATTTATTCCCTGAGTCTGAGTGTCTTGGCTGCATGTCTATATGTACACCACGTGCGTGCCTGGTGCTTGAGGAGGTTAGAGGAGAGTATCGGGATCCCTAAAGCTGGAGTTACACATGGTTCTGAAGCACCGTGTATGAGCTGGGAACCAAACCCTGGGTCCTCAGCAAGAGCAGCCAGTGCTCTCAACCCATCAGACCATCTCTCCAGCCCCAGCCCCACCCCCGAATATCTGATTTTTACCAACTCCCTGCCACTACCCTCGACCAATTTCTGCATGAATGCTGAAAGCAGCCTAAATGCTTTGCTTCCCTCCCCCGCCCCCCGCATCCAGCCTTCCTAGTTTAGTTTAAGGAATTGTCAAACAAGGAATGGCAGGTCATATTGTTCCCATTCTTGCCTTGTCCTAAAGTAAATCCAACAGGGATGAGGAGAGAGCTAAGTTGGCAAAGGGCTTGCTGCATCTGAGTTTGAATTTTCACCCCCACACACATACGCTAATGGCAGGTGCCTATAATCTCAGAGCTGGGGGGGGGGGGGGGGGCAAAGACAGCAAGATCCCTGGGTTTGCTGGCAGCCAGCCCAGCCGAGTTGGTGAGCTCTAGGATCAGTTGGAGAGATTGTCTCAGAAAGTAAGGTGGAGAATGCGAGGAAAACACCTGATGTTGACCTTTGCCTGCTTCTCCTGCCCCAAACACACAGCCTGTGTCCCTTGGAAGCCACTGTGCCCAAATCCCCACCTTTCTCCTCTTGGCGTACTCTGTTCTCAGCCCATCCAACTGTTCTCCCAACATGCTAGAGCCTCTCTGTTCCTGCTGTTCCCTCCTTAGTGCCTCCTCTTTATGCCAATCATATACCTATGTGTTTCATTATGCCAGTCATGTGGGCCTTGAAGTCAATTAAATCCAAATCTCAGTTCCTTGGGGATGCCAGTCACATTTCATATTCATTTATCCACATGACCAGACATAAGGATGTGGTGCAGATGGGACATTTAAGCTGTTGTATGGAGAATCCAGAAGGCACATGATAGGGTTCTCCTTCCCTGTGAGATCTAAGTCCATATATAACTTCTTCAGCAAAGCCTTCTGGGCCCCTAGTGTAAGGGTTTCCCTCCTGGACCTCAGGCATCAGTGAACATGTTTCTGTAAGGATGCTCATCAAAGCTACAGCTATCCATCTCTTCAGGCTTGCTAATTCCATTTCCCCACCCCACCCCATCTTCTCTGTTCACCTCTCTCTCTTTTTGTCACTTCCTTCTTTCCCTTCCCCCTCTCTCCCTTCTCTCCTCTCCTCTCTGTTTCTCTCCCTCCCCCTCTCCCTTCTCTTCTCTCCTCTTTTTCCCCTTTTCTCTGTATGTTTCTCTTCTGTTTTTCTCTGTTCCCCTATCTTCTTTTTCCTCTTTCTTCCCTCTCTCTTCTTCCTCACTGTAAGCCACATTGACAGCAGTCTTCTGAACCACTCTGTTCAGAGTCTTAGTCCTCAAATCAAGCATATCTTAGGCAACAATGGAGACACAGCTGCGGGCGGTGGACGGAGCATCTAGACCTGAGCAGGCCACTTTCTTAGCATGCACATCAGCAGCCTCTCCTTCCACAGCTGTCAAGTAGGAAAAGCACAGTCCTCCCTTGGTATTTGTGGAGAACTGGTTCTAGAGCCTACAGATATTACAGTCCAGGAATGTTCAAACCCATTACATAAAGCATTGCAGTGTTTACATACAGCCTCTATACATCTTTTCATGCCATTAAATCACCCCTGATGATTTATAATAGCTAATAAAAGCCAAATGTTGTATAAACAACTACTACACCCCATTCTCAGGGAATAATGCCAAGAGGAAAGTGTATGTGAGCTCAGTACTGACAAGATTTTTTTTTTTCTCTGCAGAGTTGGTTGACTGCTCAGATACGGAGCTGTGGACACAGAAGGCTGGCTGCGGGTGTTTACCATGCAAGAGGAAGCTGTGGGATTCATTGAGGTGCTGCCTTTGACCCTCCAGCCTGAGCACCTTACACGATTAGCTACAAGGGAGGCCCCTCAGCCACCAGCCCGTTTCCGCATCTGCGTATGCTGGGATGGAGCACACGGTTCTAAGAGTCAAGGATGGGAGCAAAAATGAGACAAAGGTGACACTAAGAGGTGGGGACAGGAGGCTGAAAAGTTCAAGGTCATCCTTGGCTACATAGCAAGTTTGGGGCCAGCCTGGGTTACCTGAGACGCTGTCTCAAAAATGAAAAAGTGAATAGATAAATGGCAGACTCAGACACTGAGTTGTGGTCCAGTTCTCGTCTAACTCTGGGTGTGCAGTGGTGGCAAAGGCTCTTGAGGAGGCTGGTCGGATTGAAACCCTCACTTTCATCATTTCCTCTAGTACCAGAAAGGAGCAAATCCTTAGAGGCACCTGAGCTTTGGAGGTTCTACCATCTTTAGGAACTATTTTACAGAAGTCAAAAAGTGCCATTTAAGCCAAACTTGATGGCACAGGCCTGTTCACTCCATTCCTTGGGAGACCATCACAGGAAGATTGCAAATTCAAGGTCTTCCCAGGTACAGATGGCCTGAGGAACTTAGTGAGACTATCTCAAAATAAAAAATAAAAAAGGCCGGGAATGTAGGTCAGTGGTACAGATCTCCTTAGTTCGCATGGGGTCCTGGGAATGATTCTCAGTACTGCAAGAAAGTGGGGAGGAAAGGAAGAAAAGAAGGACCATTAAAAAGGACCTTGTATCTTCATTTTGAGGTGGTCCAATAAGCACCGTTTTGTTTTCATGCATAGATATACATATATATATATATATACATATATACATATATCTAATATCCAAGTAGACTATAGTGTACTAAGAATATAGCTTAATATTTGCAGTCCTAGGGATCGGCCCTAAGGCCTCACCTCAGATATGCTAGAAAAACACTCTATGTCTAAGCTGTATGTCCAGCTAAACTTTACTTACACACACACACACACACACACACACACACACACACACACACAAATAAATAATGTACACAGAAAAAGAACAACAGGAAAACTAAGCAAAAGAGCTGAATTTCAAAAGCCCCTTAGGTCAGAAGTTACACAGACAGTCCTCTGCAGCAGGGCCCGGGCCGGGCGGACCATCTGGGGGAGTGCCACACACTCAGGTGTGGCAGTGTCTTGGGGGCTGGATCCTGCTGTCCTTGAGTCCTGGAAGTAAGTGCAGCTCACCCACCTCCCCGGGCTCTGGAGGGTTCCACAAGACACAGCATGTGGGGCTCCCAGCCCAGGGCGAGGCGCCAGGAGGGGCACGGGCGTTAATCCTAGGTGTGGCACCAATGCAGAGCCAACGCCCCATCTCCAGGGGAGGGCTGGTTCAGGGTGCTAAGTGCTGCGGACCCTCCTCCTTTAAGTCAGAACAAAGGCCACCTCCCCCTGGGGAGGCCTCTGGAGGCTTCCATTACATATCCAGGCTCCCGATAGGCTCTTCCTCACCTCATGGTGGCAGTTAATTATTAACTAATTATTTGGATAGTTGTTTCAATAATGTCTGCACAGCTCCCCCAGACACGCGTGGACGCCGCAGGCGGAAGGCACACAGTGCCTGCTGCTTGTCCCTGGAAGAATAAATGAATGGTGCATGCATGTGTGGGGTTTCTAGAGAGCGTGTATGGGAAAGCAGAGAAAGGAGCTGGGCTTGTCGCTCAACTGGTGTTTACCGAGTACACACACAGCCCTGGGGTCCATCCCCAGCACCCCATAAACAGATCCTGGTGACACACATTTGTCATCCCTAATGCTGGGAAGGTAGAGGCAGGAGGATTAGGAATTCAAGGCCATCCTCACCTAGATACTAAGTTTGAGACCGGCTGGGTCTATAGGAGACACTGACTCAAATAGCAAATAACAAAGCCACTAAAATATTGAATCAAATAAAACTTGACGGCTTTCAGAGCCCTTTCTGTCACACAACAAGCGGGTCAGTCGGTGCTGCAGAAGAAAACAACTATAGGAGCAAGGACCTTCAGTTTTGCTCAAAGTAGCATTTGTTAATATTTGAACCTTGAGTGTGTGAGTGTGTGTGTGTGTGTGTGTGTGTGTGTGTGTGTGTGTGTGTGTGTGAAGGGCAGGAGGGCTGCAAAGACCTGAGAGAAGTCGGGGAGGGTTGGGGCCTTCTCTGGGGTCAGAGGTGAAGGCACTAGTGTCGGTGGGCTGACCTCAGCTGGGAAATCAGGTTACACTGGGCCTAGCAGGAGGCTCTCAGGGTGTCCTCCCTGGCCCCCGAGTGGGCGGGGGGGCGGATCGCGCGGGTCCCACGCCTTTTCCCCGTGGCTTGACCCTTCCCACCATTGGCGTGAGTGGCCTCCCGGCCTCCACCCCTGTGCCTGAGTACTCACCTCCGGACAAGGCCACGGTCAGGCAAGAGATGGCAGCCACTAGGGGCCACATGATACTCCGGGATGGGGGGTGGGCAGGGTGGGCGGGGCCTGGGTCGAGAGGCTGAAGTGGGTATTGCAAAGCAAGCCCGTAGGTAGACTGAGTTCTCTGTGCTTTGTAATTTTGAACTTTCTGGCTCTATTCACTCTGAGCTTCCTGACCTTTGGGTCTCACCCTCCCCATAATTCCATCCCCAATGTGTGTGGGACGCCCTGGGAGCTGGTGGAGGGGTGGCATGCACTCCTCTGAGCTCCAGGGCCTGCTATCGCTCCAGAGAGGTAATCCCTTCTTCCCCTGCACTCTGAGAGCTGGGTCCAGATAGCATTCTCTCACCCATCACTCCTTCCTCGCCCCTGGCCCCATTCTCCCCTCTCTGGGCCTGTCCCGGACCCTGGGAGGTCTCCTCCCTGGCGCCTAGTCTCTCTGCATGCTTAGGCTCCCTACATCTCTGCAGGTTGCTGTCTCCACTTGTGCCTCACGCTGATTCAGCTGCCCTAGATTCCCCACTACCCATCCCTCCTCCTTTCTCCTCCTTCTTGTCACCCTCCAACGCCCCTTCCCCAGGCCTCTGCCCTGCTCCCACCCAGAGACCCTACCTGAGTGAGGGGCCAACTTCAGCTGCCAGCTGCCTAGAAAGTTCAGCTCCGACCCATGGCTTTTAACCCCTGAGCTCCCTCCCCCAGCGAGCGCACCATTTCCCGGTGCTGGCTCCCCCTCTCCACCCCCAATGGCTCAGCTTGCTGTTGACAGGCACCCCCCCAGCCTAGGCTCTGCCCTCGTTTTGGAGGCGGAGCTTCTGGGACAAGCTGGGACCCAGATCTGGCCCCGCCCAAGCCCGAGCTGAACCCACTGTGAACCGTCCTGTGGCAGGATCAGAGCACAGAAAGGGGGAAAACCCACTTTTCTTCTCAAACTCCTCCCACCTCCATCCCCCTTGCCATGCTGCACCTCACCCTTTTCCTCACCTCTGCCCTCACGTTCTGCAAACTCTTCATCTGCCCCAGCTCCCAGATAACTATCACTGAGCTGTCCTGAAATCCCACCTTTACCATAGACTCACCCCCAACCAGTCCCTCAGCACCAGTCCCTTCACCAGGGCAACCCAAGCTTATCTCTCAACATCAGTCAGCCCAGTCAGTGGGAGCCTCACCTCCAGCCTTTTTTTTCTTCTGAAACTCAAGGAGATGACCACATACGCTCGCCCATCACCTCCTTCACAAAGCACACAGCACCTCCATAGGCGCCAGGCTTAAGCGAGTATCAAGTGCCCCCGGGCTTGTGTGGAACCGAGCCTGAGCCTGGGAAAGTAGTTTGAACTAGGCAGCCTTTCAGGAGCAGAGTTGATGGAGTGCATGGGAGGGTGGGTGGAGAAGGAGAGGGCTGGAGGGGGGAGGGGAGGGCAAGCCAGGATGGGATAGGAGTGGAGGAAGAGGAAGGAGGAAGGGATGGCGTTTGGGGAATGAGTAGGTGGCTTCTGGAACTGTGGCTAGGTGGGGCCCCATGAGTTAATCCCAGGGGGTGGTTGAGACAGGATTAGGGATTAAGAAGGACAGAGGTGGGGTCAGAATTTGGAAGCAAGCCAAGAATGGGGATCCAGTGATGTTTGGAAAGAGGGAGCTGGTAGAGATGACATCATTAAGATAGGCTGGTGGGGTGAAGGTTCACAGGATGGGAGGTGGGGGTATGGTTGGGTATAGGATTAGGAAATGCTGTAGTCGGGAACAAGGGAGTTAAACTTTGGATGCAGAGATCAAGCCTAGTGTTAGAAGCTTCTTTTTTGAAATAAGGTGTTGTGGGGCTGGGATGGAGCTCGAGTGGTAAAGTGCTTGTCTGGCATGCAGGAAGCCCTGAGTGCCATCCCTGTGTAGGGGCACACAGCTGTAAGCCCAGCAGCCGGGAAGTAGAGGCAAGAGGATCAAGGAGTTCAAGGCCATCCTTTACTATTTGATGAGTTTGAGGTCAGTATGGACTTGAAAAAAGGGAGAGAAACCCCACAGCATATAGACAATAAGGAATGCTGATATGAATTTACAAACCAATGCTCAGCACATTGGTCCGTAGTGGTAATTTCACCTGGCAAGTTTCCTTTTTGTGGGTTTAAAGAATATTTGCATTGCTATCAGCTGCCTGCAATTTAAAGTTACAAAGTAGCATTGAGTATGGGGAGTTACAGCACAGTTCTGTATCCTAGAAACCTGGAGAGACTGAGGCAGGAGGATAGAAACTTCAAAACCAGCGGGCATTGCTGGTTCAGGGGCCAGCTTGTGCAACTTAGCAAAACTTTTTTTTTCACAGTGCAAAGTATGAAAAGGATTAGTGGCATGGGTCAGTGGTGGAGCCTCTGCCTAGATTCCCTCAGTGAGGGACTAAGGCCATAGCTCGGTGGTAGAGTTCCTGTCTGGCTGGAGAAGGCTCCATGCTCAAGCCCAGTGCTGCTCAATGTGGGGAAAAAGAGCATCTCAAAGACAATAAAACAGATGCAAAGGTGTTTCAAAATCAGATAATTTGTCTGTGTTTCCATTGAAGAACCTATTACCTCAGAGTTCTTCACTAGAAAGAGAAGTTTGGTTTAATGCAAGAACTGAAGGGGATTGTGATTAAGATTCTTGTGGTTCTGATGAGCTCACTGGAGATACAGTGGGGCTGGGAGGGGGAAGGGTGGTGTGGTACTAGGCTATGTTTGGGGGTAGGGTTTGGTTGCAGACGGTAGGGAGATAAGGGTGCTGGTAGGGTCCTGTTGGGTTGAGGTAGGTGGGAGAGGAGGATGGAGTGTGGAAGGATGTTGAGATGGCTGTGGGTGAACACCAGTGATGGGAGCTAGATATAGGTTGAGCATCTGTGTTGGGGTGGATGTTGGTAGGGGGTTGGGTCATTCCTGCTGAGGTGACTGAAAGGCCAGTGCTCTTCCCCATCCTGGCCTGCCTCCACCTCCCTGGGGTAGGGCTTGCAGTGGGTGCTGAGCCCATTCCTTTCCGGTAGAGTAGGGTTCAGGTGGCATGGCAGGAGGGAGGATGCTAGGTGAAATGAGGTGACAGCTTGTGTGGGAAGTCGGGGTACCTGTGCCCTCTTGTGGCCCAGGCTCATGCTTCCAGTAAAGCTTTCTCATTTGGGAGGGGCTGGAGCCAGGAGTGGGGGCGGCTGGTGCTGGCATTTGTTGAAGGGTGATTGCCAGGTCAATGTTGATGTTCAAGGTTTTGATTGGCCAGGACTCAAGTAGCCTACCAGTGTTGAAGTGAGGTCATGGACCCACCAAGGGCTGGGTTCCTACCACCTCCTCACTTCATTAATAAGGTAACAAGCAGCCATGGCTGATATTCACACATACACTGAACCCAATCCAGAAGTACCTTCTCACAGCTCATCATCTTCCCATATATTGGCAGCCTAGCTGGAAAAAGAAAGAACTAGAAGACTCAATGTTCTTAGTGGCTCAGAACTTGAGACTGACACATGGGTAGCCTGAGTTCAGGTGAGGTGGTTTCTCTGTGCCTCAGCATTCCCATTTGCAAGATGGCCCCCATCCACAGTACTTATGGCATAGACAAGAGTTATGTTATTCTTTTAAAAGAATACTTGGCAGGTGACGATGGGTCCCAATGTACTTGTTAAAGAACCAAAGCTGGAGAAGGAGGCAACCCCAAGGTTTCCAGAGGAGGCCCCACCCTAGCTTGGCTTCAAAATAGGATTCTTTGTCAAGCATAAACTGGAAGTTCTGGTTGGAAATGTTGACTGGGACAAGAAAGTCTGCCCCACACCCAGAGCCTGACGTAAACACAAATTGACAGAGATGACACAAAGGAAAGGGGACCAGAAGAAGAGTTGACATTCCTAGTGGTTCAGAGCTTGGGTCTGAGCACAGGTGATGTAAATACACACACATGATAGCCAAGGTAGGTGAGTGGACAGAGACATGGAGAGAAAGGCTTTGATATCCAGGAAGACGACAGACTTTTGGGAGACTAGATGTCCCAGCTGGGTCCTTGTAGGAATGCTGAGTTTAGTCCCCATCACCCTTACTCTTTGCCACCAGAATAGAGAAAATTCAGAAGGTCTGTCTTACCATCTACCTGTGTCTGCACCACACTCTCTGCCTGTCTATCTGCACCTACGGCGAAGACAGACCACTCAGGATGTCCCTCCTGACACTTCAGGGGCACTGTTCTAACACCGTTTTGACAGGATCATCAGTATTTTCCTCCCCCACCCCCCAGAAGAAATCCCATTAGTTTAACAATGGTAGAGTTTCTTCCATCTATCATTAAGGAAAGAGCGATGGCGGTGGGGGAGTGCACGCCACCTTCTCTCAGCTTTGGTGTCCACCTTCCACTGCTGGCCCATCCTCTCTGTTCCCCTTCGACTCAGTCTCATCTCTAAAATCCTGGCTACACTCCTCGTCTGCAATCTCCTGAACCTATTCTATGAGTGCGTTCTCTCCGTGCTTCTGTTAAGGGCACCAGTGGGCGCCATGCTGTGGAATCCAACTGTCCGCTCTTCACAGTTCATCTTACTTGAGCTATCAGTAGGGTTGACAGTGTGGATCACTTCCCAGCCAACCATAAAGTTCCCTTCCTTGGCTTTCTAGGACAGGGTGTTCTTCTCACTGGGGGCTCCTCTGCCATGTCTTGCTCTGACTTCTCACTGTCTGGACATAGCTTCTTCTCTCTTCTGTCTAGACTCACTCCCTCACCAACCCCATCCTCTCCCACAGCTTTAAATATTATCTGCAGGTTGACAGCTACTTCCAAATTTAATATCTCTGGACCCTTGTTCTGGGGCTTTCAGATTTAGCATTTACCTGCCTAGTCCCGTAGTCTTGGTCCTTTCCGGTGCTCACACCATCCTTTCCTTACTCAGCCAGAACTTTAGTCTTGACCTTGGGCTCCTTTTCTAACATAATATATCTGTTCTGCTATCAGCCCTCGCAGCTCTACTTTCAAAACAGACCCAGAATCTGACCAATTCTTGGCATCCTCTTTCTTGATCCCTGATGTCTTCCTGGACTCTACTTTCTG